TATATTAGGTAGGGGAGGGGGGTTTGGGGGTGGTGGGTTGTAGTAAAAGGAAGCACATCGACACAATGACGGTCTTTTAGTGCCCGGAAAAGGTAAAACAAACAGACAGACTAAAACAACGAACGGAACGCAAAGACGCTTGACCTACCAGTGGCGCCCTCCAACCAGGGCTGGGCAATGAGTAGCTTTAGCAAAATCCGGATAATATTATGTTACTGCACCTTTTCGGTAAATAATATGTTTTGAACCGATTCGGCAAATGAGTTAGAACCACTTCGACAAACGGATTAGAATCCTTTCAACAAATGGGGGCACCCACTTCGGCAAACGGGTCAGGAAAGAGAGTTAAAGAGTCTGAATTCGGATAATGTTTCATTGAGAATTATCCGATTATCCGGATATTTATCCGGATTTTGCCCACCTTTACCTCCACCCACCTCCCACACACCTAGTTTGACCAATCCAAACAATAACAATAGAGAGAATCTGAGGCAAGCCTTCACTTTCATTTTTAAACTTCTGCATTAGCGTAGACGGAAGTCTTTTATAATATGTGAGTCAGCGTGGTGGAATCAGGCTCTCGTCAAAATAATCAAAATGAAGAAACCTGCACTTTTCCACAGGTTTGTGAATTTTTATTAAATTTTGGGGGGGGGGGCTCAACACTTTTCCTGCCCATTAAAGAATTCTTTTCTGTGTGGATTTTTCATAAAAACGTTGATTAAAGGCACAAACAAATGTAAATTTTCAGTTACCACGGACTCTTAAGCTAAGGAAATAACTAATCTTTGGCGGCCATTTTCTCCCTAATTTTACCTCTGAAAACAGGTGACCCCCACCTCCTTCATTCGCAAATATCTCGACTTGTATTCAAGATAAATGGATACTTTTTCATCCAAAATAAAGACAAATGAACAAGCTTTAAGATGATACCAATAACCCTACATGCCCAAAAATTGACGAGAGCCTGATTCCACCACGCTGCCTCACATATTATGTTATAACAGATCCTTCGGTAGCGACTCGCTTTCATTAATACCTTCATTAATACCTTCATTGATACCTTCATTAATCGTCTTGACTAACGCCGTCTTGATAACAGAATCCTTCCACGTGACTTGCCTCACTAATGGTCTGAATTAATAGCGTTGACGGTAGTTTTGATCTGATAACGTGACCTTCGATGTCGGCTCGCTTTCTTAAATACTGTGTAAGTGTCCTCAGAGACGCTCGTCTTGATAACACAAGTGTCTGACGAGAAGAATGAAATGTCCGCTGAGTTCTCTACTGTCAAAATCCTACTGTAAAACTTTCCATCATTTTTTTTCAAAGTGGAAAGTGCATGTCGTGTGCGTGTGCGTATGTGAATCTGTCTTTCTTTCTTTCTCTCTTTGTCGTTCTCTCTCTCTC